GGACTGGGGTGTGTGTGAGGGCTGCAGGTTCAGCACCCGTCTGGGAAAGCCAAGGGGGCAGGAGTGATGAGGGAGATGGGGAAGGACGGCTGGGGGTGCCCGTGGGTGTGCGGGAAACGCTTCGGCTGTGTGAGTGGAGGGGGACTGGTGAAGTGAGTTGTGGGGAGCGGAGACAGAGAGAAGGAGAGGGTGCATATGGTTACAGCACAGCAGGGGTGTGTGTGAAGAGCAGGGGTGTCCATGCAGCTCACCATGCAGGCTGCAGCATAGGAGTGGGGCTGGCCATGGGGCAGGTGTGGGGACACCAGGGAGCAGGGGCAGAGTGGGGCAGAGAGCAGTGGCAGCATAGGGCAGGCTATGAGGCAGCCTTTGTGCCAGTCAGGCCATGGAGCAGGGACCTGCTCTCTGCCCACACTCCCAGCCTGGTGCACTGTGCCTTTTGCAGCTCCAGGAGTCTCTAGCAGGAGGGAAACTGAGGCACCGATGTACCCATTCCTGAGGCTGTTCCAGCACACTGCCATCCTCTGGCTCCAGGAACATCAGAGGCACTCTGTGACACTGGGAATGTGAGGGGTGCCTGGCTCAGCACAGCCCCTCTCCCTCTGCTCACCCACTGCCACTGTCTCTTGCCCCCAGATCGACCAGGACGGGCTGACCCTGCCTGAACGGACCCTCTACCTTGGGCAGGATGAGGAGAGCGAGAAGGTGAGCGGGGCACAACCATGCCTTGGGGACACCAGGAGAGGGACCAGCACCCAGCATGGTTGGCAGACAAAGGGCACCGTGCCGGGGACTGGGGGTGCCACAGGACAGTGGGGGGTGGCACTGAGCATCCTTCCCTCTGAGTAGATCCTGGCTGCATACCGAGTGTTCATGGAGCGACTGCTCACCCTCCTGGGGGCCGAGCACGTGGAGCAGAAAGCCCAGGAGATCCTGCAGCTGGAGCAGCACCTCGCCAATGTAAGGGGGATGCGTGCCATGTTTTGGGATGCCCTTGTCCAGCCCTTGGATATCCCAGTCACAGATTTTTGGGGATGTCTGTATCTGCTTCTGAGCAATTCCATTCCAATCCCTTCATGGGGACTTCCACTCCCAGCCCTTGGGGACCTTCATACCTGGAACTTGGGGATCTCAACCTCTTGAGGACCTCATGGCAGAGTTTCAGGGACCCAGTCCCACATCCTGAGAACCCCCAGTCCCAACACTTGGGAAAAATCCCTTCAGCCCCGCATCTACTCCTTGTGAGGCCACTCCAGGCCCTTGTAGACTCCATATCCAGGTCTTGGGGACCTCAGTCTGCACCACTGGGGGACATGTGTGCCCATTCCTCAGATAACCCAGTTCCTTGGCAACCTTTTGACCAGCCCTCAGGGTCCCACTGCCAGCAGAGGGTTCCTGGGGCAGGGAGTGGGAAGGATGTGGGTCAGTACCCACATCAAGAGATGTCCTGTTGCCCCAGAGCTGTGCCCCATCCCAGTGTACTATCCCAGTGTCACCCTCAAGGTGGCAGTGGGATGGTGACAGCCATGCCCACCGTGTGCAGATTACAGTGTCCGAGTATGATGACGTGCGGAGGGACGTCGGAAGCATGTACCACAAAGTGACCCTGGCCGAGCTGCAGCGCATCACCCCCACGGTGGGTACCCCTGGGGCCAGCCTGTCACCCTGTCCCCCCTCTTCCTGTGCCCCACACTTGTCCCTGTCCCCCTGCTCCATGCCCTCAATGCCCACCACCCCTCCCAGTTAAATCCACTTGAGGATAATGCACTCCTCTGGTGGGAGGCTGGAAAGCCTGGAGGGGGTTCCCTCCAGGGTGGCATGGAGCGGGGGTCCCCATGCCCCCCTGACAGTGCCTGCCCTGGCAGCTCAAGTGGAAGCGCTTGCTGGACCGCATCTTCCACGACAACTTCTCGGAGCAGGAGGAGGTGGTGCTGCTGGCCACCGACTACATGCACAGGGTGTCCGACCTCATCCGTGTGACACCCAGCAGGTGAGGGGGGCTGGCACCCCCTGTGCCCCTTTCCCAGCCTGGCAGGGGGCACAGGACAGCCGTGGCTGGAACCTCCCACCATCACCCTCCTCCTGGGAAAGCTGGGCTGAGCACAGAAAAACTGGGAAATCTTGTGGGAAAAGGCACTGTTGTGAGCCCCACAGCATCCTGGTCATGGCTGGACACCTGGTGAGGCACTCACGCCTCATGTCTGGTCATGTCTGGTCACCAGACTCATCACACATCAGGGGGGGACATGGTGCCTGTCCCGGTGCCCCCACCAGCCACAGCCCCCCTGTGTTCCTGAGCAGAGGTGTCCCCGGCAGGGGTGTCCCCATCCTGGCACATGCTCCCACCTTCCCCTGTGCCTGGGGACATGCTGGGGACTGACCCTGTCCCTGTCACAGGATCCTTCACAACTACATGCTGTGGCGCATCGTGGTGGTGCTGAGCGAGCACCTCTCCACCCCGTTCCGCGATGCCATCCACGAGCTCTCCAAGGAGATGGAGGGCAATGAGAAGCAGCTCGAGCCGGGTAAGATCTGCCTGAGCCAGGCCAACAAGCACTTCGGCATGGCCCTGGGAGCCCTCTTTGTTGAGGAGCACTTCTCCTCTGCCAGCAAAGCCAAGGTAGGTGATGCTGCCTATGGGCATGAAGCCACCACGATCTCCCATCACCTTGCCAAAGTGCCTACTGCCCCCACCAAGGGCTGTTGGGCCAGTGATGGATGGTGGGGATGCCATGCCAGCAACATGGTGACCCACCACAGGTGCAGCAGCTGGTGGAGGACATCAAATACATCCTTGACCAGCGCCTGGATGAGCTGGACTGGATGGATGAGGAGACACGGAGAGCAGCCAGGGCCAAGGTAGTGGCCCCCAGCATGCACTCCTGACTTTGGCCCCATCACCAGCATGAGAGCACATGGGATAGGGGCCTGAAGCCACCACTCATTTTGCCCACAGCTCCGGTATATGATGGTGATGATTGGGTACCCCGATTTCCTCCTGAAGCCAGAGGCCATCGACAAGGAATATGAGGCAAGGGATAGCCCAGGAGCATGTGAGGGCATGGGCACACAGTGGGGGAAGATAGTACCCACATCTGCATCAGGGTTGGTAAAGATGCCACCCCAAAATGAGCCCCCTCCTGGTGCTCACTGGGCTCACTGCCGGCAGGGTGCCCCACACCAGCATTGCCATACAGTGCCTGGGGCCTGGGATGGTGTCTCCTTCCCCACACTGCAGCTCCCAGAGCTCAGCCCCATCCTCAGCAGGGGCTGGGGGTGCCAGCATGGCCCAGGGACCTCATGGAGCTGACAGAGAAGCAGCTGTCCCTGTGGGCACACAGCACGGGACATGAGAACACACTTGCCACACATCCACACAGTCACCAAGGCTCACAGAGGTGGGAGGACACCACAGGCCTGCCCTCCACACTCTTGGGGCTGGCATCTCCCCTGATGTGGCTGTGCCCCACCAGTTTGAGGTGGATGAGAAGACCTACTTCAAGAACATCCTCAACAGCATCGCCTTCAGCATCAGGCTCTCGGTGAAGAAGATCCGGCAGGAGGTGGACAAGTCTGTGTGGGTATCCCCTTGCCCTGGGGGGACACCAAGGGGCCCAGCATGGTGCCACCAGTGTCCCCCGTCCCCATGCCCGGATGCACCCCACAGGGCAGAGGGGCACAGGGATGCCAGGAGTACCCCCCTGTTGCCCAGCTCTTCAAAGGGGTGGCACTTCCATGTCCCTCGGTGCTCTGCAGCCCAGCACTGCTGTCTCTCCTTGCAGGTGGCTGCTGCCTCCCCAGGCACTGAACGCCTACTACCTGCCCAACAAGAACCAGATGGGTAAGCACTGCCCGTCCCCGATCCTCCCCCGGGGCAGGAGCGGGGAGGATCTGGGATGGGGACAAGGCCCAGGGTCCCCTGGTGCTGGGGGACACTGTACAGGGCAGGGTGACACCCAGCTGCAATGTTTTTCTATATCCCCAGTGTTCCCTGCTGGCATCCTGCAGCCCACCCTCTATGACCCCGAGTTCCCGCAGTGAGTGTGGGGCTGGGGATGGCCGGCGGGTTGCCGTGTCACGGGGTCACCCCATCCCTGCCAGCACAGTGCTCTCCACCCTCTGACCTCTGCTCCCCACCCAACAGGTCGCTGAACTATGGTGGGATTGGCACCATCATTGGGCACGAGCTGACCCATGGCTACGATGACTGGGGTGAGTGTCCCTCCTATATCCGGCCGGGATGTGAGGATGGGGTGAGGCAGCCAGGCAGGACACCTGGGTCCCTTGGGACTATTGGAGGTGGCGCTTGCCTTGGCAGGGGGACAGTACGACCGGCACGGGAACCTGGTGCACTGGTGGACGGAGCGGTCGTACAGCAAGTTCCTGAAGAAGGCGCAGTGCATTGTCAACCTCTACGACAACTTCACTGTCTACAACCAGAGGGTGAGAGCCCCCTCTGCTGCCGGGCAGTGCCCAGCAGGACACAACTGTCCCACGGTGGGGTCCCTGCTGCTCCATTGCTCAGGGCTGGGTGCCTGCAGGAGAGCTGACTCTGCCCTGCCCAGCCCTGAGACCCAACAATTCATCACACCTTAGCTTGGAAATTCCTCAGGGCACTGGGCACAGCCTCGGTGCTGGGGTGGGGATGGGAACACCTCTGTTCATGCTGTAATTTATCCTCTCTTGGCAGGTGAATGGCAAACACACACTGGGGGAGAACATCGCTGACATGGGGGGGCTCAAACTCGCCTACTACGTAAGTGTCCCCCGCCCTGGGTGTCACAGCCATGGGGCAGCTGCTTGTGCCATCCCTCTTGAGTGGGCAGGAGATCTCCCCAGCCCCTCCTTCCTCCCTGCAGCAAGGGCCAGCCATGATCCTCATTGCTGGGGGCTTGGGGTGGGTTCAGGGTGGATTTGGGGGAGTGCCCAGGCCATGCTGAGGGCACCCCTTGTTCTCCAGGCCTACCAGAAGTGGGTGCGGGAGCACGGCCCCGAGCACCCCCTGCACCACATGAAATACACACACGACCAGCTCTTCTTCATCGCCTTTGCCCAGGTGAGCCCCTGTCCTCCTCACATCTAACAGGTATTGGGGCTGGAGAGTCACCTTGTATGGGGCCAGCAGCCCAAAGGGATGGTGCCATGGCCAGGAGCTGGACTCGGCTGCATCAGCAGGTCCTGGGCTCAGGGTACAGAGCTCAGGCCTGAACGAGCACCCCACACTGTCCTGTTGCTCCTGTGGACCCTACAATAATAAATTAGTGTGTCCTCCATGACTTCCAGAGGCTCCACAGTAACAAATATATACGATCCCTAAATTCTAGGAAAGCCTGCAGCCAGGCAGCTTACAACCCCGTAGACCCTACAAAAACAAGCACGACTCCACATTCTCCCAACCCAATTACACCATGAACACAGGCTCCTGGGAGACCCTACAATAACAAATTCAACCAGGGCATCACTGCCCTCAATCCCTAGCAGCCAGAAGGGCCATTGTGTCCTGGTGGTTGCCAGGACCCAGAATGCCCCATGTGGCTTGTCCATGGAACCTTTCTCCCCTGCAGAACTGGTGCATCAAGCGGCGATCCCAGTCCATCTACCTGCAGGTGCTGACAGACAAGCATGCCCCGGAGCACTACAGGTACTGGGTACTCCCAAAATAGGGTGGGATGGGGGCATGGTGGCTGCCAGCCTTCCCCAGAGATGTCAGTGCTGTACAAAGTGGGAGGAGCACCCTTTGGAGTGCTGGTGCAGATTTTGGGTGATATCCCTGGGGCAGGGCTGCTGGGGTGAGCATGTGCCCTGAGTGGGATGCAAGGCAGCAGTGTGGGGGCAGGGGGTGCCCAGCTCTGAGGTCCTCTCCTCTCCTGGCAGGGTCCTGGGCAGTGTCTCACAGTTTGAGGAGTTTGGACGTGTCTTCCACTGCCCCAAGAACTCGCCCATGAACCCGGTGCACAAGTGCTCGGTGTGGTGAGGCCAATGCCCCTCCAGCAGGCTGGGACGCTCCATCCCCACCCCTGTGCCCACTCCCCAACTTCCCATCTCCCCTTCCTATTCTCCAGGTAAAGGGGGTGCCCTCGGGTGTCACAGGGGGTCACCCCAAAAGCAGGAACCTGCCATAGACACTTGGGTTGGGCAATTGCCTCCTGCCCTTCCCCTCCTACCCACTGCCCTGCACACTGAGGGGTCCTCATTCCCCATGGAGGAACAAGGGCATGCCCAGGCACATCTGTACCCCCTTTTCTGTCCATCCAGCCCAAACCATTCACCCAGCCCTACCACATCCATCCCAGTGTCAGTCAAACCAGGGACAGGACTCCAGTTTCCATGGGGGTGCCCCATGGCAAAAGCCTCCCCTGCACAGTGCCCTCCCTGGCATTCCCCATGCCAGCCCCTTCCTGTCCATGCACCAGCCCTGCCAGGGTGGGGCACAGCCGCAGAGCCAGGGCTGGGCAATGCCAGCCTGCCTGGGAGCGTGGGCACACGGACATTGCTGTACTTTTCGCTGCTGTTTCTGGTCAATAAAGCACTGGATATACTGGATGGTTGCCAGGGGCCATGGCCAGGGGATGGGAGCAGTGGGCAGCACCCCCAGCCCTGCCCACATGGCACAGGCACCCCCACTCCACGAACACACCATCCCACCAGTGTCACACCCTGTGTTTATTGAACACCCCACTGCCTGGATTTGCTGTCCCCATGGCTGCTGCATCCAGGCCAGGGATGCTTCAGAAAGCTGTCATCTGCCCACAGGTGCCACACTGTGGGGAAGGGAGGGGAACATGAATCTGTCCCATGGGGGCCCCTAGGGACATGGGATCAGTGTAAAAGGGGCAGAAGGAGGGGAGGGAGGAGCAGGGCCAGGGGCGTGGCGCGGATGCCAGGGGCAGAGTTCCCTTGGCGGCAGTCAGTGTAGGGCTCGATGCAGGCGGCGTAGGCCATGATATGGGCTACACAGGTCTGCTCCTGCACCCCGTGGAAGAGGTGGGCCATAGGACCCTTGGCCAGGATAGCCACATCCTCACCACCATGGCTCTCCGACTTGAGGGGCACGGCCGCCTGCTGCAGGTAATCGAACTGCACTGGGGAGCAGAGAGAAGGGGGTGAGAGGGGCAGCGACGGCCCCCAGCCCCACCCCATCACCCAGCCATGGTCTCTGTGGCCTTACTGGCTGTGTCCGGGTCCACGTTGGGTCGCTCAGCGCCTGGGTATCCCGGCCCATTCCCGTAGAGGATGGATGTGTAGTTCTTCTCGTCAATGGCTGTCTTGGGTGCCAGAGCTGGGGAAGGGGCAGTGGAGGGTCAGACAAGGAACACTCCTATCACCCCTCTGGCCACAGTCAGGGTGTCACAGGGCTGGCAGAACCCAGAACAGGGCAGAGCCCCACCGAAGATGGAGGAGCCACGCAGGGTGTAGCCACCAAAGGAGAACACGTGTGAGTGGTCAGCAGTGACAACAGTGAGGGTCTCAGCCTCGTCTGTCAGGGTGCCTGCCCGCTCGATGGCCCGGTCAAACTCCACCGCCTCTGTCAGTGCCTTTTGGGCTGCGCCTTCATGGTGGCCATGGTCGATTCTGCCACCTGCAGATGGGCACCCACGGTGGGCTGGGGACCGACAGCAGCACGCCCAACTCCTACCCCCACCCTACACCCCCCTCTCACTGGCCCCAGGAGCACGAGCTCCAACTTATCTTCCACAAAGAGGTAGAACCCTTTGGGGTTCCTGCTCAGGATGGTGATGGCTGCCTCTGTCATCTCACTGAGTGACGGGTCCAGGGTGGCGTTATGCACCAGTTCATACTTCATGTCCCCAGGTTCAAACAGACCTGTAAGGGGATGAGTTGGGGACAGCATCAGCACCTGAGTGTCCCAGAGCCTGTTGGGTCCTGGGACTGGGGTCATTTTTTACCCATCAAATAATTCACGCTGGGGTTGGCCGCAGCAGCCAGCATCTCTGTCCTGTTCCAGACATAGCGGGCACCCTGTGGGCAAATCCCTCAGGGGGTTAGTGGGTGCCTGGCCCTGTGCCAGGGGCAGTGGGCAGAGGACCGTCCCTGAGGCGTCACTCACCGGCCGTGCCTCCAGCCACGTGTTGATGAGGTTTTTCCCATCCTCGCGTATCCCGTTCTGCGCGCTGTCAGTGGGGTACTCAGGGTCCGGCGTTCCCACGGGGCTCATGTATTTCCGACCACCACCCATGATCACCTGGAGGGGATGAGGTGGATGAAGCATTAGTGAGGTGCCCTGAGAGGGCTCTGTCCCTGCCCTCCTCCTCCCGTGCGCTCACATTGATATCGACGTTGTGGACCAGCTGCTGGGCGATGTCCTTGCAGCCCTGCTGCCGCGCCTCCTGGGGCATGCTGGAGTCCGCGTACCAGTTCCGGTCCACCACGTGCGCATAGGTCCCCGAGGGTGACGCGTGCTGCACCCGCGACGTGGTCACGATGCCCACTGACTTTCCTGCCAAACCCCGCTCATCAAGCCCCACCGTGGGCAACACAGGATCCCCACCACCAAGCTATGGGATTCACATGGGGGGAAAGCCCACAGTGTGGCAGCCCTTGTCTGCACAGGGTCCCCCCAGCCCTGCATCCCTCATTACCAGCTTTGCGGGCTCGCTGCAGCACTGAGATCACCTCGTTGCCGGCCGTGGTGTTGCACTGCAAGTATCGGGCGGCCGCGCTCAACCCTATGGTCTTGTAGTTGCCCTTCACCCCGCAGAGATAGGCTGTGGCTGTTGACGCGCTGTCGGGGACGTGCCTGTCCACACTGTAGGTCTGCCGAGGATAGAGGGGCTCAGGGCAGGGGTCCCCAGTGGGGTGTCCCCCGAGCACCCCCTGCCACGCTCATTCACCCACCCATGGACACGTGTGGGATGGGGAGGGACCCCATGCACATATGTGCAGCCCTGGGGTGCCGGCAGCCCCATGCCTGGGATCACTATGGCCCCTTTCCAACATGCTGGAATTTACCTTAGAGAGAGCCACGTAGGGGAAAGCATCCAGGGCAAGAGGGGTCTCAGGGCCCAGCTTCCCCTGCAGCTGCGCCTTTAGGATGCGGGTGGCTGTGATGCTGGGGATCCCAAATCCTGGGCAGAGAGAGGGTCCTGGTCACCCTCTGGACCAGGTGCCCTCCACACATCCCACTCAGCAGAGTACTGGCCATGTCAGCCTGCCTGCCAGGGGTGCCAGTGGGACTCACCATCCCCAAGAAAAAGGAGGAGGTTTTTAGCTTGGCTTATCCTGGGCTGGATTTTCAGGGAGGCTTCAATGGCTGCAGCTGCCTTCTTGTTCCAGAAGGATGGTTTCTCCTCCTCCGCTGGGACAGTGCAAACATCCATCAGTCCCAGCTCACCAGAGTCTGCACCCCCAGGGAACCCCTGCAGGGTACCCACACCCCAGGGATACTTGTTCCCTGGGCACTCCCATGCTGGGGCTTCCTTTCACATGGACCAAGTGGTTCGGGGAGCTATTTGGGATGGGGCAAGACCATGCAGGCTTGCACCGACTGCTGGGCCCCAGGGTCCTGGGGCAGGGAACAAGGGGGACAGCAAAACCAGATATGATGGGACGGTTATCTGGCAAGTGGGATGGGGAAAATCCATGGTAGGGAGTGGTGATAGAGGATATAGGCACTTCCCCCAGACCAGCCCCCGGCACAAAAGCAAGCGAAAACCTGGGGGAAAATTGGTTCAAAAACCCCAGAAGAGCAGGGGTAACTAACCCCCATTAATCCTTGTTTGGCTGGGCAGCCTCAGCTTCCCTCCCCAAGCCCTCCTTGTGGCCAGCCAGGCTGACACCCTGCTTCCCTGGACACCCACCACAGCCAGCCGGCCACCCATCCCCATGCTTGTCCCCACCTGGGATGATAGCAGTGCTGAACCCTGCGCAGAGGCAGAGGATGAGGGATGCCAGGAGCTGCATGTTGAGATCTGACAGGCCAACGCTGCTGGCAGTGTCTGTAAATACAGCAGATCTGGGGAGGGACTTTGGACAGGGATCAGCCCTAGCAGGGTGTGTGTTCCAGCGCGTCTCTGCCGAGCAACTCGGACAAAGGCCGGGCTGATGGCACCTCCTTGGCACGACCTCCTGTGGCTGATGGGCACAGATGTGCTTGGGAAACAGTCAGATGCAGGGAAAAGAGGATGTGCACTGCTGGCAGGAGATCTTGCCCTGGCCATGGTGTCATGGTGCGCATGGTGCCTGTCCCAGGGTGCCACGGGCAGCTCTGAGCATTGGACCTGGGATAACAGTGGGTATGGGGAGCACCTGGGGTCACTCCTGCACTGAGCACACTGCTCTCTGCCCAGGCTTTCTTGAGGAATAAATCCAAGGATGCAGACTAAAACTCTGCTCCTTGCTCAGGCCTTGACATGGAAGTACCAACCTTTGTGTACTGTTCCCCAACCAGGCAAAGCTGGGGAGGACACTGCCTCCCCTCACTCACATTTCAACATCTCCTTCACCCCAGTGCCTCCAGTGCTGGTCCCAGGGGAGAACCAGGAGCCACAGCTGACTGGGGAGGCAGGCACGGAGCAGCAACTCAGGAGGGGACCACCACTGTGAACCTTTGCACGGCGGATGGAGACAAACAACCTGTGCTTTATTGCATTGCTTGGTCTTGTCCACAGTGAGACTCAGCCAGAGCCTCTTAGCCCCTCACTATAAGGGCAGCCATGCAGAGGGCCAGGAGGGCGAGCAGGGGCTGTGGGGAGCACTGTGTGCCATGGGAGGCTCTGCGGGCTGCCCTGCATCCAGGCTCTGTGGCATAGGGCTCGAGGCAGGCAGCGTAGGCCATGGCATGGGCGATGTAGTGCTGCTCCTGCACCCCGTGGAAGAGGTGGGCCATGGGGCCCTGGGCCATCACCACCACGTCTTCCCCACTGTGAGTCTCTGTCTCCAGGGGCACAGCTGCCTGCTGTCTGTAATCCTTGTCCTCTGCAGGAGGAAGAGGAGAAATGAGGCTGGGAGTCTGGCTCCTTGACATGTCACAGGGATGGGGGGACCACTCCCTTCACTCCTGCATCAGTGAGATTTCTGCCCAAGTGACTCCTGAGCCTCACAGTGGCACCAGGACCTTGTGTGGCTCCTGTGGTCATGCCAGTGGGATGCTGTCCCCAGCAGACTCACTGGGAATCTGTCCCCAGCCACCCCGTGGCTCTGCCACATCCCCAGCAGACCTGCGGCAGGGAGGCTGGCAGCTGGACGGGCCCCATCACGGATGCTGTAGCCAGGACCATTGCCATAGAGGATGCTGGTGTAGTCTCGCTTGTCCTTGGCTTTCTTGGGGGCCAGCCCTGGCACGGGGAAAGACATTGTCACCCCCTATCCCAGCTGGGTACCTCTCCCTAGCTCCCTGCCTGGGCAGGCTCAGCCTCCCGTGGGAGCAGCAGGGTGAGGTGGAAAAGAGGGATGCTCACTGCCCCTCTCCAGGACCCACCAAAGATGGAGTTGCCACGTGGTGTGCTGCCCCCAAAAGTGAAGACATGGGAGTGATCAGCTGTCACCACGGTCAGGGTGTCAGCGGGGGAGGTGAGCTCGCCGGCCCGTGCCACCGCCCGGTCCAGCATCACGGCCTCCATCAGTGCCTGCTTGGCCCGGCCACTGTGGTGGCCATGATCGATTCTGCCACCTGCAAGGGGAATGTGGCTGTCACCCTCTCCTTGGTCCCCTTGGATGGCCACCTGCTCCCAGGACCTACATCCCACCTCAGCCCCAGCCACACTGCCCGCCTGGAGCTACTCATCTTCCACAAAGAGGAAGAAGCCATTGGGGTTCCTGCGCAGGATGCGGATGGCCTTTTCCGTCATCTCCACGATGGAGGGGTCTGTGGATGTGTTGCGGTTCAGCTCATACTTCATGTCCTTGGGCTCAAAGAGGCCTGGGGGAGGAGGGTGAGGGGGTCCATGCTGGGGCTGGTTTGTGCCCCTGCTGACCCCTCCAGAGAGGGAAGGAGGAGGAAGTATTGCCATTGGGGCAGGCAGTAATGCTCCTACCCATAAGGTGGCTCACAGAGTCATCTTTGACCGCATCCAGGCCCTTCTTGTCCCAGACGTAGCGGGCACCCTGCCAGCGAGAGCAGAGCCAGTGCCAATGGCACACAACCTGTGCCAGGAGTCACGTTTCCTCTTCCCCAGCACGCTACCTTCTTGGCACTCAGCCACTCTGCAATCAAGTCCCGGCCGTCCTTCCTGGTGCCATTTTGATCCGGATCCTCTGGGTACTCGGGGTCCGGAGTCCGCTTGGGGGTCATGTACATCCTCCCGCCGCCCAGGATCACCTGCCATGGGAGCTCAGCAGACCCTGCCAGCGTTCCTGGTGCCCCCTCCCTCCCGCTCCCGCTCCCCAGCTCACGTTGATGTCAGTGTTGTGTATCAGCTGGTCGGCGATGTCCTTGCAGCCATCCCGCAGGGCCTCCTTGGGCATGTTGGCGTCAGCGTACCAGCTCCGGCTGGCCGAGTGCGCGTAGGCTGCCCCGGGGGACGCGTGCTGCACCCGCGTGGTCGTCACGATGCCCACAGACTTGCCTGCAGCGTGGGCAAGGGTTTACAGGGAGTCCATCCAGCCCTGCATGGCACTGGATAGCCATGCCCGGCGTTCCGGCAGGGTTTCCTGCTGCCCCGTACCCGCCAGCCTGGCCCGGTGCAGGACAGAGTCCACCTCATTGCCAAAGGTGGTGTGGCATTTTCCATAGACGGCTGCCCCGCTCAGTCCCAGAGTCTTGGCGTTGGCCTTCACCCCACAGAGGTAGGCGGTGCCCGTGCCAGCGCTGTCGGGCACCTGGCGGTCGATGGTGTAGGTCTGGAAGCAAGATGGGTGCAGTGGGGCTCCAAGTAGGGGCAGCAGGAGTGCCCCCCCAGCACTGCCCCACTCACCTTGGCCAGGGCCACATGGGGAAAGGTCTCCATGGCCAAGACGCTCTCCTCGCCTGAGCCACCGGCCAGCTGCCCCTTGTAGATCCGAGCTGCTGACACGGTGGACACCCCCATGCCTGTGGGCATGTGTGAGTCACCGGGTGGCAGGGGGCCGGGACTAGAGACAGCCCTGCCCTCCCCAGGCACTGCCCGAGGGCTTGTCCCAGCCCCAACTCCTCATCAGCCCTGTCCCCTGGCTGCTGGGGAGCTGCAGGGCCTGGCAGTGGCCCGGGGCACTCACCATCACCCATGAAGAGGATGATGTTTTTGGCCCGCTGTGCTGCTGAGTGCAAGGCCAGGGCCAATTCCAGCCTTCTCCTGGCACCTCTATTCCAGTAGCCCGGGGTCTTCTCAGCATCTGGAGGTGAGAGCAGAGCTGGGAGCCTCCAGGTGCACCCCAAGGGGTCCAGCATGGCCATCTGCACCCGAATGATGTGAATTTAGCTGCTATAAGCCCCCCCCACTGGAGGTCCAGGAAACGCCTGGAGATCAGCACTGCTCAGAAACCACCTGCAAAAGGGAAACTGAGGCACAGTTTGTCAGGGAAGTCCCTTGTGCCTCTTGGCAGAGTGGATGAGGAGCCTGAGGATCAGCCACAGCAATCCCACAGCTGGGTAACCACGGCTGGCTGTGGCTATTGGGCCACTTTATCCAAAGTCAGGGATGGGGGC